GGAGCTTTTTCCTTTTAACTTCCCAATCCTTTGTGAGAACTAAAGTTTGTGTATTAAAATGTGCTACTTAGTATTTAATTAGTTAATGTATTTAATGTGTTACAACATTTTAAGGTTCGTTCTAGTTCTTTTCCCCTTATGGTGAACTCCAGATATGTAAAAATGAATCTCCATTTTATAGGAAGAAGGAAGTACATTTTGAAACAAATAATAAAGACAGATAAATCATTCCTTTGGAAAAACAAAAAGAATGTCAAATTATTGATGATACAGAGTCAGAAATGGTTATATGCCCACAAGTGCCTGATATACTTTCCCCCACCAAAGCAATGTGAAAGGTGAAGATGAGTTCACTATCAAAATAATTTTCAACTTAAAATAATTGCTTATGGTTATTGGAAAAGGGCTGTGGTCAAACAACAAAATGCCTTGGGAATATGAGAAGTAGAACACGAGTTCACACAAGAGACTATCTTTCAGATACACGTTAAAAGATAGTCTTTTAGTTTAGGAATTTTTTTAGTTAAGTAACTGGTTATAACACAGATGTAAATTTAAAATATTGCCATGAATTAAAATATACACTTGTATTTTGGCTAAATAAAGAAAATTTCAGAAGATGACAAATTACCATACTCAAGAACTATTCCTAGAAAAGCAGTGCCTGATTAGTCCATATTTTAATCAAGTAAACAGAGGACAACCAATTCTATAAATAATATTGGGGTTTATGTCAGTAAAAATTAGCTGGATGCGAGCTTTACAGTCTCAGTTGTTTTCAGATTAATTGGAATACATAATGAAAGTAATTACACTGATATTTTGGTGGATGTCTCAGTGTGTCTTGGAAGGAGTCCAGTAAGTTGTCTGTCTATATCTGATTTATAGAATAGTGATTTGTCATTTTAAATTGCTCCATATGAGCAGTAAGCATGGAAGTATTAAGTAAGTATTTGTATAAATAGTAAATGCCTCTTGATTTTTACCTTTCTGTGCCCCCACAAAAGACATCACTAAGAATAAAATACTGAAAAAAATCCCATGTGATTTACTGATGAGAAAGTCCTTTTTGAAGATAAAAAGTGAAAATTGGCCTGATATTTAAGATGCCTGTGTATACTACAGCCTGTGTGTGTAGAAAATGTTACATGAATAGAAACATTTTACTGTTAAACATTTTTGGAATAAATAGCCTCTGCTATGTCAGGGAAGCAAGTCAACTTTTTTTTTTTTCCAAAATGTGGTGAAGCTGATAGAGGAGAAGTGTGAGAAAGGCTGAAATCAGGGCATGACCTGGTGAAGAGAATAATTCTTTACAACCCTTTGGGTTTTCATGCAGGATATGGGGTCTCTTCCACCCCATCCCATTAAAAAAATGATGCAGGATAATAGATGGAATCAGAGATTCAGAGGCTACAGCCCTTGGATACGTACTTGGGGAAGGAAAAATCTCTTGAAGTTGACAGGAATATTTGCAGTGGTTTCAGCAACCTTCAGGCAAGGACTTGGAGGAGGCACAGGGTGGCCTTCCAGTAGCTGAAGGGGTCCTAAAAGAAAGCTGGAGAGGGACTTTTTACAAGGGCAGTGATAGGACAAGGGGTAATGGCTTCAAACGGGAAGAAGGTAGATTATAGATTTGATATTAGGAAGAAATTTTTCACTGCGAGGGTGGTGAGGCACTGGAACAGGTTGTCCAGAGAAGTTGTGAATGTCCCATCCCCGGAAGTGTTCAAGACCAGGCTGGATGGGGCTTTGAGCAACCTGGTCTAGTGGGAGGTGTCGGGGGTCTAGTGGGGGGTTGAAACTAGATGATCTTGAGGGTTCCTTCCAACCTAAACCATTTGATGATTCTACGCTGGCAGCATGGAGGAGGTGACAAGAGACTGGGATTTGGTGGGAGACCTCCCTGCTCTACCAGCCAGCAGGTCGGTGCTGTTTTCCATCCCTATAAGCATTCACATGTCTCTTCTTTTTCTCTTGTAGGAAGTTTTCCCTGCAACAGTGATACATAACATTCATGAGAGGCTGAAACGGGGTTATCAGCAACAAGCACAGCTACAGACTGGGCATGGTCAGTCCTGCCACAGTAACTGCCCTACCATGGTGACCTGCGCAATTAAATTAACCCTCTCCAGTCCCACCATTATCCTGTTGAGGCTTTCCAAGGCTGCCACAGTTGGCATTGCTCCCTCCCCAAAGATCATGCCCTGGGCTGCTCGTGTAATGTATGCCAGGCCATTCCCTGAAGAGCTGTCACCCCTCTCTAGGTGAGGGGACTGTCTTTCAGGCTGTTTGCAGGCCAGACCAGCACCCAACGTCACTGAAAATGGCCAGCAGGACTTTAACCGTATTTCCATCCCAAGCAGATCCCAGCTTTACCCTCTGTATCCCTTCCCTAACCTCACTAGGTGCTGTCTTAGCAGGTCTAGGTCTTCATTTCAGTGAGCCAAGCCATTCCCCTGACTCACCCCAAGCCTCATTTCACCCATTCCACCAAGTGGGGCATTCACCAGTGCTAACTGGGCAGTGGAGAAGAGGTGAGTGTTGCTGGCCAGGCAGAGAACAAGCCACCCAGAGCCTTCCCAGGGCAGCCCACACTCCCTGCGCTGAGGGGCTGGCAGCCAGCAGTGTCCCCCTCACTGAGGACACATTTGGGCTCCAACCCTGCTCGGTCTGCGTCCTGCGTCGTCCCGCCAGCTCTTAGGTACCACCGCTTAGGAATTCCCTGAGTAAAGATTAATTTCCATCGATTGGCGTGACCATCTGCAGCTTTTGCTGCAGTTAGGCTAAACTTGGTGTTTTTACACATTTTTTCATCTGTCCCACACACCTTTGCTCACATGACTACTTGTACGTACACACTTATGTCAGGCAACAGTGATGGGCGCATTTTCTGGTGATAACTTTTGTCTTGAATTTTTTACGAGCAATATTTGGATGAAAGAGCTAAAATTTTAAGAGCACACAAAAGGAGCTCGTTAAAATTGTTTCTGCAGGTAAAATAGGTGACCTTTTATCTGCTATTTACACAGTGAAAAAAAAATATTTTAAACTAGGCTTTGCATTTAAAACTAGTGTATTATACAAAAGAAATATTAATTTTAGCTAGTGAGCTGACAGATTGCTTTTGGTCATCATGGGCCTGATTTCCAAAGGTATTTGGTGCCTAATAAAGCAGTCTGAAATCTTCTGGGATTTCAGAAATATTGCAGTAGGCCAGCTGCTTCATCTCCGTTACAACCAGTGACAGTGAGATGCTGAGGCACTTCTGAAAAGCAGCCATACAGGCAAGAATATCTTTGTAAGTACATCCAGATATTCTTTAATTTTCAGAATCAGCTGACATTTTTCTTGTCTATTTGGGGTTTTGTTTGCAAACTGGAAGACAGCAACCTTTTTGCTACTTTTTTAACTCAGTCTCAGTTTTAGATGAAGTAACACAAATGAAGAAAATATTATGTTTGCATCTCACAACTAAAAAATTCACTGGAAGTAATTCAGAAAAGCTTATTCCATACTGCAGAAACTGAAAAAGCTCCAAAATGAAAAAAAAAATAAATAAAAAACCTCTTGATCAATTGTGGAGATGTATGCAATGTAACACATAATATCGGACAAAATTATTTAACTTAGATTGGCCATAGTGATACGGAAGATGTTTTTTTCATTGGAAAAAAGCACTTTTGAACTCATTAATGTCTGAGAATGATCGGAGTAAATTTAGGGCTTAGAACAGGCTGTCATTGCCATGAATGTAAATAGCATTTTCAAAGACAAGTGTATTCATTTTAAATTGCAACTTCCAATTCAAAAGAAAAAAAAAAAAGATGGCTTTTTTTATGTTGGTAAGCATGACATAAACTCTGGTATTTATGGGTTGTACCTTGGGGTTAAAAATCTTTTTATTATATGTGATAATATCTGCAAATCTGAAATATACTCAGTTCCACATTGTCTGAGTAGATGATGTTATGTAGTTACAGGTATGTGTATAGTCACAACAGCAGTAGTCCAGCAGCAGTAGCAATTATTACCTTAGGCAACACAGGACATGACAACAGAAGCAGTGGAGTGGACAACAAAAAGAAAACCACCACTCAGTGGCTAAAATGAGTGAGTTTGAGGGAACGTGCTTCTCCTCTTGAGCTCAGCCCAACAAAATCCAGCACCAGCCAGTGACTTGCTGGGACCTCAGGGAGAAACCACGGATGGTAGAGCTGGGTCTTCTCCGGGCCCTCAGGATTCATGATGAGTAGAACGGGTGGGTACTCCACATTCCTCCAAAAGCTAGGGCAGATCTTAAACCCCTTTGGTCTCCTCCTGTTGGCATGTATGTTGTGTTAACAAAGAAACTCATGTGCAGGCAGACCTCATTCAGTACGGTCATTGGTCTTCCAACACAAAGTGAAATTTCTCACAACATTTCAGAGTGTGTTTCTCATGTCCCAATCTTGCTTTAATGCTTTGCCTGAGATTTTATCACTTTTAATAAACAAATACTCATTATAAAGACCATTTCGCCCATCCAAGTTCTAAATCAGAGTAGCAGCTACCATTTATAAGACTTCAGTGTTCAGATACACAAGCTACCCAACATCATTTAGATAATGCGTTGGGGCTGAACGTAAGTGATAATAAACTAATGTGGATTCATTATGATGACTCAGAGAAACAATATTACATTATAAATTCCAGGTAATATGTTTCTGTTCCAAGTGGATGTGGTCTTGTTAATAGGTATCTTAAAAAGTTGTTCCTTTGGGCTAAAAAAGCTGCTTGAATTCTTGAAGAAAAAGATTACTGGAATACAGTCCAAAGACCTCTAAAAGATTTAAAACTGGAAAGAAAAAGGGGCAAAAAAAGGAGATTTTTCTTCTAATATGCAACTGACTTTCTTGCTATCCTATCATAAGGACCTTGTGACCATCTGATTTTGGAGTTGCACGTTGGTGTCAGAGATCTGGGGAATCCAAGTGCGTAATAACACAAGTACAATTTAGGACAGGTCAAAGAGGAGCTTTATTAACCACGATCGCAGGGAGAGAACATTTGGATGGCATCACCCTCTTTGTTCCTCCATGCTCTGCCAAGGGATTGCAGAGATCCAGCCTATGGACTGTGGTAGAAATGACAAACACAAAAACCTAGAAAAAAAAAGAAACAAAAGAGATGAGGATAACCAAACCTTTTGATGTTAACAGAGCCGGGTATCCATCTCCGTCAGGGACAGACTCCTCCAGTAGCTTGCTAGCTGCCACAGCTCTAAGAAGGACTCACATAGCAAATAAGCTGAGGATGTGGAAGGATGGCTCTTGGTGGAGTCTGTATTATGAGGCATACCCCTATTGCCTTCAATCAGCGGTGGGGAAGGGGAAACAACAACAACAAAATCTTAAATATTAATAATTTTACAATCACAATGGTAAGACATGCCTCAGGGTGTTGACTCTTATAGTTTTGTCGTGTCCAATCAATTCTGTATTATCAACCATAACAATCTGCCTTTTTTATTTCCCCCTGACACACGCAGTCGGGGAATGAATGTGCTCATAGAGAAAACCTGTTTTCTGCAATGTGCTGACGTAATCTTCCCAGTCACAAGAAGTTCACTGGGTCACACCTAGCAAGCGATAGGAAAAAGACCTCCTTGCTGCTGCTCTCCCTCACCCCCTCCCAGATACATGCACCAACTATTCTGATGACACCTCAGTATATAATAATGTCTTCTATGCTGTATTTTCCAACATTTATGGCCAGGTTTCCTAGCAGCAGGTTGTAATTGGAATCTGACTGTGAAATAAACAGGTACAAAATGACTGACAATTCTCAAAGATGTAAAAATAAGCACATTTTAACCCCATGCTGTTTAAAGAGCTCCTGCATGGATCCTACAAAGTATTGTCTTTACCTGAGGAAGACACACTTCAAAGACAAGGCCCTTTGGCTTTCTTTTTGAGCACGTTAATAGAATTATAAGCTTATAAAATAAGTTACGGCATTGTTGCACTTGGGATTTCTTTGAGCAAAGTCAAAGAAACAGCATATGTACCATAATCACACAATAATTCCCCTGTACTCTCTCTATAACTTGTTTGCCCTAATAAGTACATGCTGATTTTTTCATTTGTGGACAGGACTCATGTTAATATGATATTATAGTCAGAGTCTTTCTCACATCAAATTCACATAACTAAAACCAAAACAAAGCTGTTCCTGTAAATACCTTACACTGATTCTACAACTGGAAGTTGTAGTTGTGTATATTGCACATAAAACTAATTTCTACTTTTTATTCTATGCTCATATACTTCCATATATGCTTTTAGCAGTGCGGTCTTCATACAAATACTATGGACTACAGCTACTGAACCTTTGTACCCCCACATCCCACATAAAAAAAGACACCCTGGGTATCTTACCAGGGCCTGTGACTCTGCAGAGAATTAGGGGTAGAGGTGATTTGCAACTCACAATTTGAGAAAAGCGATTACAAACTGAATGGCTAAGGCTCTTTGTAGTTAATGCTGCCAAACTCTTCCCATTAGAAACCCTTCATTTCAGTTGTTCAAAACTCTTCCAGAATTTAACTGTTGGGGCTGAAATTTTCCATGTCTGTTTTCCAAAAGAGTGTCAGCATAAATTGTCCAGTTGTTTTCAATAATAATGTCAGCAGAAAATATATTATTTGCCAATCATACTATTTACCAGTGATTACTACAACGTTTTTGTCAATAATTTCTGGCAGTATGATGACTTGAGGCAAGGAAGTGAAATTTGGCATTGAATAGTCTTTGTGTGATGGATAAGCCTTTTGTTGTGCATTTATGTGTGTGGAGGGGTATAACGCTCAAACGTAGCCAAATTATAAAAAATTGAGAAAATATCTGATTGCATACGCTCAGTAGCAGTTGATAAATAGCATTTCCAAGGATTCTGTCCGTGCTGAGCCTGTTTTCTCTCTGACCCCAGGATAAAGGAGGCTACGACAAGACTTTCCCTGCAATTGCTCTTCCCAGACGCACCGGCCCAGAAGCCAGACAGGAAACCAAGGTGGAGGTTACACAAGGTGGCTGCACCATGGGACCTCTCCCTGTGCTGGGAAAGGGAAAGGCATCGGTCTCCTTTCAAACCCGTTTACCCCAGTAACCTCACAAATCATCCCCCCAAAGGCACCGCTCTGCTGCCACCGACGGCCCCTCCGCTGGGCACCTGCCTCGAGCAAGAGCCTACATTTGTCCTGCAGGAGATACCCCCCACATCTGACATCAGGCAGGGCTGTACTGGGAACAAATAATGTCTGAGGAATAGTTGTCTACTGCTGTCTTGCTCAATGTCCAAAATTTGTAGTTAAAGTTATTATTTATATTCCTCCGCTTCAGCTTATTATCTGAAAAATGGAACTAATAATACAATTCATTGCAGCAAAGGAGTATGGCAGTAAGTTCATTACTGCTTGCGAAACAGCTGGGTACACTAATGATGAACACGAAACAAATGGTCATAAGGAAACAAATAATTCTGCATTACAGCAGGTTTGCACAATGGGAAATGAATAAGGCATTGGATGCTCAGTGAACACAAGGATAAAATCAAATACTGAGTTCATTAACAGGCCATCTATATGAAGCATGTTTCCATACCAGATATCTGACTTTAGACAGTTTCAGCAGAAGAGGTCCATCAGTGAGGATAAAAAAATACTATGTGTTCTCTTAATTAAAGATTGATTACAGTACACAAACCCAAAGGAAGCTAGTTAAAATGGCAGATATTAAAGCCAGAAAAAAAACCCAGAATTTTGTTTTACTGCTTAACTTTCAAAGTTTCGTGTCCTTTTAACATTTCTTTTAATACTTAATGTTACCGCATGCAAATAATAACAAAATGCAGGACGCCTAAACTAAAAATTATAAACGTATGGCTTTAAGTGCTGAGACGCTCTCCTAGGAGCATCATTTAGACCACATGATTTTACAATATGTAAACATACTACAAGCAACACCCAGACCCAATTTAGTACTTAACAATATATTCCTAAAACCTAGAAGAGACAAGAGCAAGATCAACCTCAAAACTCCTACAGAAATCAGAGCTTTAACGTAAAGAAATGTAAACAAAACTCAGGATGATAGCAGTGACACGTTTTCCATTTCCTCCTGACATCTTTCTGGGGTTGATGTGATTTAGCACTGAAACACAATCCAATGACAAACAGTAAAAATCCCTCTTTGATGCAATTTCACAAAGCAGTCCTCTTTAACAGCAGGTTTTCCATGAACACAGGGTGACAGCTGAAAAAAGGTCAGGCTAAACCTTTACCTGAGGCAGTCACTTTGGTTTAGAGTCTCTTGCCTGGTAAATAAGAGGGCCAAGGTACCAGGCTGGAGATCACCCACACTTATTTAAATTTTTCCAATGTCCCTCAGCCCTCCCTCCACCCCACCACTGTCCCAGTGGAGTCTGCACCTCCGGCCATCCCCACCTGTGGCCCAGGGAACCCAAGGTCTACCTTCAGCTTCATGCCACTCCAATGGCATCACTTCAGATGCTTCCAGCTCACAAAACCAAGTGCAAACCAGCTCTGAGCTAGGGTCATGGGGATGCCAGAGAACACCTGGAAGAGATGCAGAGCCAAGGGCTGTGTGGGGCGGACGTGGGCAGCCTGTGCCTGATGGCCAAAGGGCTGTGGGGCCTCTCTGGTCTCACATCATTTGGCAGTGCAGGGGTAGCTCAAGGGACCTGTACTGTCTGAGGGACCAAACTGCTCCACTGAGGGCTTCCTAGCTCCTCTCCTCCAGTTCATGCCCCTCACTGGGCAGGCTGGCACCCTTGGAGCACCCATTCATCAGCTCAAACCATCAGCAATTGATTATGGATACAAGCCCTGCAGATTTTCATCCTTCTTACCACCACAGCCTTCAACAAACAGGAGGTTTCTGGCAGGTTCCCCTCTGTCATGTGTCCTCTGTGATCAGGAGATTCCCAGGCACTAGGCATCCCTGCGTGTCTAGCCTTGAAGGGCCTGAACTTGGAACAGGGATTTGGAACCCACACTTAATAAATTAATCCTGTGACTTACAATAAGAAGATTTCAAACCTGCTAGACTGTTTTGAAATTTTTCCTTACCATACATTAGCATAAAATTATAAATACGTCCCGTGCTATGCAAATGATATTTATACACTGTGCTGGGCTCTGGACAGTGACTTATGCATGTCATATACCCTTCTGCCACACGCGTTTTAAGCTGCATGTGTGAGATAACCTGGTTATCTCAAAAGCTGTGGTATAGTTTGGACTTGCCTGTAAAGTTAAGAGCCATTTGTAATCATGAGGAAAATTAAGCTTCAGGGCATTTCTGACTTTAATATAGCAAATGAGTACTAACCATCGCACTGTATTTTGTCATCACTTACATTTTTTTTCCAGAACATCTGAAGAACTTTTTGGATATTAAATTTGCTATCATGATTGATTTTACTGCATTGGTCATATATTTTTCTTCCTCTTCCAAATTACACTTGCTGAAGAAACAGAAATATATTGAACAAGGGAAAAACCTGTGTACTCAAAGTGAAAACAAAAGTACTTTCAATTTCAAAGCTGTAATGAATTAATATTTTTAATTTACTAATACAAGAAAATATTTCTTATTATTTTCAGGTTAAACATATGCAATGAGTTTCCAGTGAGACAGCTATATTTATTAAGTATAGCAGGTCACTGAGTAGATGGCATTACTGCATTGCCTGAGGTCCCAAGAATGTGCAATCAGCCTTGATTACTGGTGGCCCAGTCCTGCAAGGTACTAAACAATTTCAACTTTCATTTCAATAGTAGCCAAGAGTGTTTTGCATCCCTTAGGAATAAGCACATGAAAGAGCCTGCTCTAAATTAGCTGAGAAACAGCTTCATGCGAAATTTTACATTTGTTTTTAATGAGAAAAGCTCTTTCCAACAGAATAGGACAGCTATGCCAACAGACCATTTGACCCACTGATTTCAGAATTTCCTTCAGTTTCTGGGAGATATCCCATACAGAGATAGACTGACTTGTTGTACGTACACTGTCCAATTTTATTTTCTTTCTGAAGTTTTTGTTCAGAGCATTTAGAAAGTCACCGTAAAGTGTTTTATTCCAAG